ACATCTCCATACAATTACATACACCCATCTAAACAAATAAATAATGTATCCCTATATCTATCCGTCTAACTATACATATATACATACATACATACATACATACATACATACATATACACCCATATACTTATATATATGAATACATACATACCAAAACATACACGCACATATATAAACACAGCTACATACACATCTACCTACATATACATACATCCATATACGCATACATATATATATATACATATATGCATACATATAAATATACATACTTACATACACATAATCAAACAACTAAATAGTGTGTAACACTTTTTATTATTAAAAGTCTAAAACTTGCTTAGGGAGTCGAAGGAGTATGCAGTAATAGCAGTGTCATAAGAAATACTCCCCTTTTTTCACACACCCGTATTATACTGATTCGAAGGTTAAACTTTGTCCATATTGTTGTGTATTCAACAATCCTATTGGAAAACATGAATAATATAGAGATTTTGATAATTGCACTCCGTTAAACAGTCTGTTAATGAGTAAACAGTAATAAAATAATATTATATATATATATATATGTGTGTGTGTGTGTGTGTGTATGTGTTAGTATGGAATTCGAACAAAAATGGAGAAATGAGACAAAAAAAAGTATTGGTTTTTATTGACAACGCGTTTCCCCTTCATTAGTTAGGCGTCTTGAGTTTTCATTTAAAAAAACTTTGGAATTTGTCTTTCATTTTGTTCAGAGGACGAAACGCGTCAGTTAAGATATATATATATATATATATATATATATATATATATATATACCATAATGAGAAGCCACGTATACTTTTTTTAATATGTATATATAGAAAAAGTTGCAAATTAAAAAAATAATGTTTTATTTTATGAAAGTATTTATTTATTTATATATATATTTGATATTTCAAATTGTCCTCAATCTTTCATCAGAAATAACTGTTTGTTACAAATAAATTAAAATTACTGAAAAGTTTGTTAACAAGTAACGTCCTTCGCGAGACGCGGACGTCACGTGATATGGAACGTCAATGTTCGGATATTCCTAGCTTAAATCTAACTGTCATAAATATTTTAAATGTTGTTTAAAAATTTTTTTTAACTATATCTAAAAAAATTGCTTAACTATTGAAATATTTATAAATATTTAAAACACCCAGGTCCCTATTCAACCCTAGTTTATGTGTATTTAATTTTAAAATCCAATATGTTTCTTTTTTCTGCGTGTGTATGTGGAACTAAAATCGGAACCTATCAATAAACATTTGCTGTTTTCTAATGAGTGTCCTGATTGATTAAAGTGTTTAGCTATATATATATATATATATATATATATATATATATATATATATATATATATATATATATATAGTCTCTCCCGTCGAATTCGACGTACGAGGGTCAAGCAGATCAGTTCCTAGGAAACCGACAGCCCGACAACAGCACATAAGATTTGATTATAGTAGTAAAGGTTTCATGCAGGACCATCCACACTTTTTTTTTTTTTTTGAAGGGCCGAATACAGAATATATATATATATATATATATATATATATATATAGAGAGAGAGAGAGAGAGAGAGAGAGAGAGAGATAAACCTAGTGAGCCAGACAAACTTACCCAGGTTTCACCTAAGCGGATCGTCAGGGAAAGCTGGCAAATCAAGAATTCGAAGGTTTTTCGAAACGAGTATAGTTACCTATATATATATATATATATATATATATATATATATATATATATATAAACTTTAGAATGGAATTAAAATTGGGCTCGCCGATTAGCAATTCCGAGCCGTTATCCATCACACCACCCGCGCATCCAAGCTTACACCACCTGTTATTACCTGAATCATCGTAAACATGTCAAAAAGGCCACAAACCTTATAACCAACAACCCACGCATTTTCTTTTTTCGTAAAAAGAGGCAGTATTAGTTCTTGTGACTTTATTTGCTGCTAACTTTTTACCTAAGGTTTGAATACCTATCTCATCTTGATTGATTCGTTCCCTACGGCTTATAAACTCTTGGCAGGTTATTTAAAATCAGAAAATATTTTTAGGTTCTAAAAACTGGAATTAAAACTGGGCTCGCCGATAAGCAATTCCGAGCCGTTATCCATCACACCACCCGCGCATCCAAGCTTACACTACCTGTTTTCCTTGAATACTTATTCACAAAATAGCTTTTCTAAAATGATAATATGAAAATAATAATAATTATTATTATAATAATAATAATTCTTAATTATTCATTATCAGTTCGCGTATTAAAATATTTTACGAACATATGAGTTCTATATTACATTAAGATCGTTGTGATACAACATATACTGTGGCCATCTCAGCAGTGTTGTGTTTACAGCAAAATAGCCGGACGAAGTCCATCCCTCTTCTGGTTGGTTTTGAATTCTTCTGCTAGTCTGGTTGCCATCACACTGAAAGACAGTCTATTCAGTACTTCTCTTTAACTCATAACCGGGAGAAAAGAGAAGGTATACTACATTTTCCAAGCATATTTGGGCGAAAATGAACTTAATGACCCCCGACCCGAATTCGAAATCTTCTCACTAATTCCTCCTTTAAAGTTTCTACCTGTTAAACTACACATCCTATCTGCCATAGATTCGTCAAAATAAAATTTACCTTCACTGTTGCCTTTACATATTCCGTTTTAATTAGTTGGAAATAATTATGATCGATTTTGGAATAGCTTTGTTTTGTTGCATTTTGAATAGTAGGCGTGCGATTTCAATGCATAAAATGTGTAAGTCATAGTAAAAAAAACCTTAAGAAATTCTCAGTCCTGCAATTCTATAGGGAACCGAAAAATTCATTATAACTTCAATTCTCTCTGCATGAAATATTGGCAGACGAACCATTTGATGAAATTTACAGAAGCGTTATGATTGGCTGAACGCAAAATAAAAAATCGAGGATGTTCCTCTTTTCATGTATAGTTACCATCTATGATCATTACACCATCATATATGAGATATCTATGAAATCTAAAACAGATTTTTCCCTTTTGAAGACAAGGGAGTAGAAGGGGAATAACAGTTGCTACCGGAAGTGTGAGGGGACACACCGGTTAAAGGTAATTTCAACGGAGACAAAAGAACCAATTCGAATTCAGAACGAGGACACACACATTCTATTTGAACAACTGTCCTTCAGAATGTCATGAATCAAGCTTTCTTTCCATCTTTCTGTGTTTCTCTCGCTGTTCTCCTTCATATCGTTACTGACAAGAATATAGTCCGCACAGAGGTACTTACCTGCTACTGGTATTATGTAAACCAGAAGTCTGAGAGGTGACGACACTAGCAACTAATCTCCGTTTACATTAGAAATGTAATATGTGACAAGTCAGGTACTGTGCCCAACTATCTCTTAAGTTATGATATTAGCAGATATATTTTTTACGTCATAATACTGTCTTGCTTTATGCGTAGGAAGTGTATTACTCAACACATATGCTCATAAAATATATCGTTATATTATTATAGATAGAAGATTATTTGAATGAAGTCAATGCACCGATTAATGATATAATGGTAGAGTTTAGAAAAATGGATTATTTTCCCATTTCTTTTCTCCATTATACACATTATTATATCAGTGATATAATAAGACATTAATTCACGGATGGAATGTCTGAAAGTAAAAACAATGAAAAAAAGCAATCATGATTGTCATTCTCAGAGAGACTTTTATACCACAGAAATACACAGAACTATATATACATGTTTACACGTGTCCCACGTAGAGAAAATATAACATATTTACACAGCAAGCAGAGTGAAAGGAAAACGAAAAGATAGCCTCTTACATATAATATGGAGATTCTTCTGTGTATCTGGAGAAGCCATGTTTATGTCACCAGATTCAGACGGACCGGAATTATCAACTATGTCTTAAGCAAGGACTTATTCTACGAACAGGAAATGGTGAGTCTTGGGTATTCCCAAATTGAAAACTGCGAGCGGGGGTTTCTTTCTATAACTGGGGAAGTTATATTCCCAAATAGAAACAGCAGAGTATTCAGAAAACAAAATGGAGTTGAAAACGGTCTTTCAAACATCTTTCGAGGTAAACATGAAAAACTGATTTCGCATGTCAACAGGAAATGAAACAGACAGAGATTATCAGGGAAAAGAGAAAGCAGTGTCAACACCCAAACCAGGACACATTCCACAGGAGTCATTGTTTTTTGTCTGATGGAATATGAAAGGTGTTATGACGAGTCACTGAGAGGGAAGGATCCTTACTGCAGATGTTTATTGCAATGAACCTGATCGGTTAAAGGAAGCATTACTCCGAAAGTTCCTTGCTTTGGTAAAAAGCAAAGATGTTATTCATTAGCATGGAAACTATGCAGAACAAGCCTAAAAACAAATGAGATCGTTAGGATGGGGCCTTCTTCCAAATCCTCTATACTTACTAGATTCAATACCTATAGATGTTCATTTGTTTCGACCCATAGAACATTTCATAAATAGCATAATATTAAGAGACAAAGAAGAACTTGGAAAAAAAAGTGTCGAACATTTTTTTTGAAAAAGAGAAACCCAGAATTCTTTAAATGTTCAATCGAAATGGTGGCTTCCTGCAATGGTGAAAATGGGAGTGATTACAATTTCTGTTCACGGCCATATTGTTGCAATTTTTTGTATATATTATGTACTAGTGAGCCAGTCAAAATGACTTGACTCATTTTATAGTCCACCAAGAGAAGGGTTAACCAATCAGAAGACGCAGAATATTCAATCCGTCGTGTATAAAGGCGGCCATTTTGTTTACTCTATCCGAATGTCCACTGCCAGCTTGTCAGGCGATGAGGAACAGAATGAAGAACTACGCTCTGCTACTTTTACCAAAATATCCACTGCTAACCTGAACTACGCTTCCCTACTGTCTTCGAAATATTCATTGCTAACCTCTGAATTCTATACTCAAAGACGACCGTCATCATGAACAACACATATCACGATAAAACACCGGTTCTCTTAAAATCACCGAAGTTAGACAACGTTCAGCCAAGTCAGTACCTAGATGGGTGACCGCCTCGGAATACCAGGTGCTGTAAGCTAGGAAGAGTGGATGGTACAGTAGATAGGGGATCGGAATTGAGAAGCGGAGAGTCGAGAACCAATTCCACTGAGGTTTGTTTTATTTACTCATGCACAAATCCCCCTGGTAAAGGTATGAACCCATCTCTTCTCCATTCAGGTACGGATTAATTGATAGAACTTGTATCAATAAAATTCATTATTATCTTTTAAAAAAATTCTTACAATCGAAAAATGTTTTATGGCTTTAAATAACCTTCAAATATTTAATAAGCCGTGAAAAAAACAAATCAGTCAGCCAATGCGATGACAATTTCGGTAAATAATATTTCATTATAGTTAACTTTTATTTGGTTTCTGTTAAAATGTATTTTTTCCAATGGCCTGATCATATTTCAATAAATTTACCTACATATGTCTTCATGTCCTCTCTGGTAAAATGCAATTATTTTCCGAACGCCCTAATAATATTTCAATAAATTTAATTTATATTTGCTTTTATATCCTTTCTGGTAAAACTTAATTACTTTCCAAACACCCTAATAATACTTCAATAAATTTAACTAAAATTTGTTTTCATATCCATTTGTTTTTTTATATCCCTGATAAAACGTAATTACTTTCCGACCAACCTAATAATATTTCAATAAATTTAACTTACATTTGTTTTTATATCCTCCCTGGTAAAACGTAATTATCTTCCGAACACCCTAATAATATTTCAATAAATTTAACTTACATTTGTTTTTATATCCTCCCTGATAAAACGTAATTACTTTCCGACCAACCTTATAATATTTCAATAAATTTAACTTATATTTGTTTTTATATCCTCCCTGATAAAACGTAATTACTTTCCGAACGCCCTAATAATATTTCAATAAATTTAATTTATATTTGCTTTTATATCCTTTCTGGTAAAACGTAATTACTTTCCGACCAACCTAATAATATTTCAATAAATTTAACTTACATTTGTTTTTATATCCTCCCTGATAAAACGTAATTACTTTCCGAACGCCCTAATAATATTTCAATAAATTTAATTTATATTTGCTTTTATATCCTTTCTGGTAAAACGTAATTACTTTCCGACCAACCTAATAATATTTCAATAAATTTAACTTACATTTGTTTTTATATCCTCCCTGATAAAACGTAATTACTTTCCGACCAACCTAATAATATTTCAATAAATTTAACTTACATTTGTTTTTATATCCTCCCTGATAAAACGTAATTATCTTCCGAACACCCTAATAATATTTCAATAAATTTAGTTTATATTTGTTTTTATATATTTTCTGGTAAAACCTAATGACTTTCCGAATACCTTAATAATACTTCAATAAATATAATTTATATTTGGTTTATCTAATTTCTGTTAATTACTTTCTGAACACTAATAATATTTCAATTAATTTAAATTTCATTTGTTTCATGTCCTTTCATGTTTAATTGCAATTACTTTACCAACAGTCTAACAGTCCGTTAGAGGACACTGTGCTATATCATTGTCTATGGATTAAAATTTTATTTATTTATATTTTTGTTCTTTTTTTTTTATTTTATTTTTATTTTTTTATTTCTGTGTTTGTGGGCGACATTTCTCTTTTTTGTTTTTTTGGTTCTTGTTTCGTCTCTACTTCATATTCTGCTTCATGTCAATGTAAGTTGCATTCAATCTCTCATTTACCCAATTCCCAATGATAAGAATGCCATTTCACACTGCAGTTAAATGACTTCACAGAATAATGAATATCTTAGAAAGGAATGACGTAGCCAATAGTTGCTGAATTCTTTCTACGGCTAATGCAAAGGAAAAACGACAGTATATTTATTACTTTATAAGGAAATCCATCATTTAATTTGGTTTCATATCCCACATACATTTTATTGTTTCTTACTCAAACATTTGCTTATTCTAATTCTACTATTTGTAGGCGCATCCAGTAAATCGTGCTCAGAATTTTCTATTACGCTCACATTTTCGCCAAAGTGATCGGACAATGGTCGGAAGCGAAAACTGATTACATGCACGTTCTTAGACCAAAGAATTCACAAGAATCACACTACGATGGTGGCAAATTGCTTTTTAGTTCTTCAACAACATCAAAAATCCCATTAAAGCGGAAAACCATGTTGAAAATATTATTTACTGATTAGTTTTTTTTTCAGATGCTGCTGCGATTTTCCAGTTTATTGATAACAGAATGTTATAGGTCGCTTCGTTCTGATGTTATAGTTAACAAACTAGTCCATCTTGAGTATTTGTCTATATTTCTGAGATGAGGTATTATATACACTTTTTACATTATTCAGACTATTGTCCTCATCTTTGTTGCCATATTTATCCGATCATTCAGTATCTGTCTATATTTCTGAGGTGAGGTATTATGTATACTATTTACATTATTCAGACTATTGTCCTCATTTTTGTTGCCATATTTATCCGATTCTTCAGTATTTGTCTATATTTCTGTGATGAGGTATTATGTACACTATTTACATTATTCGGACTATTGTCCTCATTTTTGTTGCCATATTTATCCGATCCTTAAGTATCTGTCTATATTTCTGAGATGAGGTATTATATACACTATTTACATTATTCGGACTATTGTCCTCATTTTTGTTGCCATATTTATCCGATTCTTCAGTATTTGTCTATATTTCTGAGATGAGGTATTATATACACTATTTACATTATTCGGACTATTGTCCTCATTTTTGTTGCCATATTTATCCGATCCTTCAGTATTTGTTTATATTTCTGAGATGAGGTATTATATACACTATTTACATTATTCGGACTATTGTCCTCATCTTTGTCGCCATACTTATTACAACGTTTCAGCCGTTGTACGCTACGACCTTCTTCAGGTGGTTGGAATGTCGAACTGAACCCTTTATTTCGCTCACTGGGGTAGGCTGTTCTACTTCCACGTGCGTTGATTAATGGATGTCAGTTATCAGTTTTCTCCAGTTAATTCCCCTCTTTTTTTTTTTTATTATTTCTATACTTGGTCGGCTCAGGAGATTTTTGTGGCCTAGCATATGTGCTGATTGCTTAAGTTTAAGGACACATGGCCCACTGGATAAAGGCGTTAGTTAGATCCAGTGACAGGACCCAAAGAGTGCGAGTTCAATACCCGGTTATGGCAATGGAAAACCTTTAGAGGGAAATTAACAGGAGAAAACTAATAACTGACATCCATTAAACATGGCACGTGGAACTAGAACAGTCTACCACAGTGAGCGAAATAATGGGTTCAGTTCGACATTCCAACCACCTGAAGAAGACCGGAGCGTACAACGGCCGAAACGTTGTAATAAATATGGGTGACAAAGATGAGGATAATAGTCCGAATAATGTAAATAATAATCCAACATTACTTTTAAAACTGTGCCTCATACAAAACGTCGGTGAGATTCATAAATGCCTATATTTGGTAACCTCTGCGGAGAATAATTTTTAACGTGCTAATCTAATTCCTCACTCTTATAGTAATGATTTTGATCTTCACCATGTTTCAGACCCGTAGATTAGACAAAGATTAGCATAATGAATACCTACATTCGATCATGTTACTGTATAGTTTATTTACAGTATGTTTATTTGTTTTAATTCCGTAGACCCCTATATGAAGTATAGGGCCACAGATTCACCACAACAGGTGTTGCAACGGTAATATCTGTTTTTACGGGGAGTACTTACTAAAACACTAAGAAACAAGAAAATTTCGTTAGCAACAAAGAAAGGTAAAGTTAAACTGCTATCTAATAACAATCTTCTTATCTCTAAGTGAATACTTGACAATCTCCTCACGTATGAGAAAACTGAAGGTAACAAAAATTTGGTTCTGCAGAAGGATACTGAGAATTCCATAGCCGGAGCGCATGAGCAACAAAAACATCTTAAGGATAATGGAAACAAAATAGGAGACATAGAAACAGTAAAAGACAGCCGAAAATTCTTGGACACATCATGCGGAAGGACGGCTTGGAGAATCTGGTACGCTCTGGACATATCGACGCAAAATGGACGGATGAAGACAGCGAACTATCTACCTGGAGAGTTTGTAGGAATAAATGTCAGAACAGGGGTTGCAAAGAGACAAACGATTCTATGAGTTAGAAATGGATATGGATTTGAGGAACTCCGTGGTCGATCCCGTCCTGAAGGGACACAGCACATAAGAGAAGCCAAGTTGCTAAACTAACGCCCAACCGTTTTTGAATTCAGAGTAGACTGGTTACCATGCCAAGGTTAGAGTCTGTTTATCTATTTTAATGATAGTCGGTCGCAAAGAAAAGAATTCTGCACGCTATTCCCAAAAGAAATAATACGAAATGAATGCGCCATTGTTTACTAGTGTTAAATGCTTTTGTGGTTACAACTTTCAGAGAAGAAAATGTCTGTAACAAAGAAATTTACTTATAAAAGACATCAAACAAAACAATCATTTATTTATATCGATCACAAAAGACAAGATTAGAAATTAATTACAAAATACAGTTATTTTTTAAAACCGATCATACCAAATAGTTATTTCAATTCAGCAATAAACTCTATATCAAATTATAATACGCATATTGATAGGTCTTAGATAATGCGCATTTTTGCTGACTTTGGTATAATTAATATCATCACGAGCCCCAGAGGCCGTACCTCTAGGCTTTATTTCTACATGGGAAGAGGAACAAGTTAAATGTTTCGCTTCTGAATTTATCCAAATGTGTCGATTATGGACGGAGCAATATTTTTATCCTTGGCCTATGTACGCATGGTCCTCCACTGTAAACTTGACACTGTTTTCCACTTTAGGTTGGGTGTGAGCCTCAAACTGACACCCCGCTCAAGTGGAACTCGTATATACGATCCATTGCTAAGGACGCATATAAAATAGTCGGCTCATTGTACCGCTCAAGTACCTGAATCGTCCGGTTTTCCCCTACCTTTACACGAGCGAGATCAGGTGAGATCAGGCGAGATCTGGCCAAAAATGGTGTACTGT